CCAGCATGGCTGGCTGGGGAATTCTGGGAGTTGAAGTCCACTCACCTTAAAGTGGCCAAGTTTGGACAACACTGTACTACACCATTCCTCATTCACAGCCAGCACAGCTAATGTGGCTATAGGCATGGGATGTGATCTCACACATCTGGGCAGATGTAATCTCACACATTTTGGTCACCAGACTGACAAAGGATGGTTTAATGATTCAGATTCTTTACTGAATACAGCTTTCCTTAAGTTATGGCTGGAGCAGAGGGGAAAGTTTAAAGAAACTCAGGAGAATCATTTTGTTTGGGTTTTATCGTACAGACCCTTATCTTCCAGTCATGAGTCTGGCCTTCTCTAGGCCACATTGCATTAAGCACAACAGGAACTTAAAGGGATATAGAAAAGAAAATGAAAAAATTTTTTTTTCCAATCTGACTAATCAACAGAGATAGCAAAAATTATTTAATGAACTGAATGTTACTTATTCCCCATGAAAACATGTTCAGAGCCCCAGCCACATCCATCACTGACAAAGGTAAGGTATCGTAGAGGTGTTCTTGCAGAAAACAGACTTTCCTGGTATTTCAGCAGGCACTGACCTTGATTGGTGGTTTCCTGGTGATATGAGAAACCAGGAAGTTCATGGCAATATCCTCACAGTTGATATATTCATCTACCATGTCACGGATGGCCTGTGGCATCACATAAGAATATAGGTAGGCGTAGTACTACAAGCAGAAGAAAAAATGAGCGCACATTAAAGGAGGGCCAAATCTATGGAAATCTAGATTTGAAGAAACAGAAGCAAAATCTTTTATCAGATTTAAGATAATCATACTGACTTCACCCTTTAACCCAGACACATACACATAAGAAAGTTTTCATGACAGCTAACAAATGTGCCCCGTAAGAGTCAAAGGGACATCTCTACCGCAAATGAAAATTTCAATTTGTTGTTACCTCTAGACACAACTTCTCACTGGGACAACAAAATATCCAGAATGAGTCTGGATATAAGGCAGGGATAGGCAACTTGGTGTCCTCCAGATGTTCTGCAGTTCCATACTCATAAGTTCCAGCCAACATGGCTAATATCAAGGGATCATGAACCCTGCAGTTCAAAACAACAGGAAAGGCAACAGCTTCCCTATCCCTGCTTTAAGTTATTTCCAAGCAAGGACAGGAAAAACAGGATTTAGTCCCACCTGCACTCTATGTCTTCAAATAGGCTTAACTCTTGTCACATGGACTATTTTCACTAAAAAGAATTGCTTTTACTTATTAGAAAAGACAGTTCAAATACATGATCTAATGATTTTGTGAGAAAGAAAGATGATACCATTTTAAACAATCGTCATTGACTAGATAAAATATGAAATGGCTATGGTTAAAAAACAAAACTTAGAGCCCAAGGAGGTTGGAGTGATCAAGAGTCCTAAATTTTGTTTTAAAAAAGGGAAATCTCTTAGCCCAGTTCCTGCAAAATTGAGAACTGAACTCTACTCTTCACCAAAACAGTAAGCTGCAGAGCCACAATTAAACACAGAGGAAAAGGTCAGTTTGAGTGTTAGTTGGGTCCATACTTGATGTTTGCTATGTGATCATGGTCTGTGAAAATCTCTCTCTCTCTGAGTTCTGGGCAAATCCATTAAAGAGAGGTGCTTTAGAACACAGAGGAGCATATACAAAGCACTTCTCTGAGTATCATTAAAGCAACTGCATCATTTTCCAGACTCACATGACAGCTATGTAAGCTGCTTGCGGCTGGGCATGCATAGCTACTTTGTATCATTTCAAACTGTATCCCATTCCATCAAGAGGCAGGTTGGACAAGTTAGCCCAGAAATAAAGGAGAGACTCCTGTTTGATTTTCCATCATTAGCCTGTTGTAGCTGGGTGGAAGAAACATGTTTCCCCAGGTATGCACATCAAATAGACAAATCTGTTACCTTGATGGGGAAAACCTTGAGTTGAGTGAGATGGATGATTACTACATTTGATAGATAGATAGACAGACAGACAGATAAGAGAAGGCTGTAGTCCAAACAATTCTGAGGATCAGAACACTATGGCTAAAAGTGAAACTCTTCAAAATTGTACATGGTTGGAAACATTTAAATTTCTCAGCTCTGGAACACAACAGCACAAAAGGAAAGGCTATGTTTATTTGCAGAAATGCAAAATTCAATGAAAATTGCAAACTGCTAGAGAGAGAGAGGAAAAAAGAGATTAAGATCAAGTTTCAAAAGAGAATGTAATGCTCCTAGGAGAAGTTGCTTCAGAGATTCAATAGGCAGTTTGTGACTCACGTTCAATAATCACAATGAGCAAACAACTCTATGCAGTCTGAACCCAGATTTTCGACCATACGATAAAATTTGACCATTGATAGGGAATAGCACAGCAACACATAGTACCCCAAAATGCTGAAACTGCACTTGCTACACTCAGTCTTCCAGAGTCATCACCTCCTGAGATAGCGAAATCAATCTGTAGCCAGGAGCATTTCAATTTCCAGAGTGCACTTGCTTTGGAAAACTGAGGAAAGAGTGCAAATTCTCTGCAATCAGTATTCTTGCAGCTTTCCTCACTGTAACAAGTATTTGACCTAAGCCATTCTGAGAAATACAGTTGTCTTACAGGTAGTCCCCAGGTTAAGAATGCTCGGTTTAAGGACGACCCATAGTTAAGAATGGAGCCTACTGTAGAAAATTCAAGTTAAACACACAATGATTTGAGTTAAATACCCAATGGTTTGAGCTAATTACACAATACTATTTATACAGTATTATACAATAATACTGTTCCGGCTTACATACAAATTTGATTTAAGGACAGACCTTGGGAATGGAACTTGTTCTTAAACTGGGGACTACCTGCACTTGCCCCTTACTTTGTGAAAAAATGCAGCACCCGTCAGAACCATGGACAGTTCACAGGAGTAATTGGAGTTGTAGAGCCAGGACTGGTGAGGGATGTCCCATGCATGATACCGCCCAGGGAATCCTACAATGCGGTCCCTAGCTTCTCTCCAGACCCTGCAGATACAAAGAAGATAACTTAAGCAGACAGAAAGGAACTGGAGCGTGTTGGAGAGACAAGAAACAGAGAGAAATGCCCAGATCACATGATTACTATTATTGAGTTATCTGCATTGCACATTTAGATTTTAAACTTTAGTTTAAATGGTTTCTCCCACCCCCTTTCTAGAACTGGGATGAATGGGCCTCCACTCCAGATGCATTACATATTACTACAATAGTGCTCTCAACCTTTTTTGTGAGAGAAAGTGGTTAAGTGATACAACACTTTGACTCTCTTTCATTGCTTGGTCTTGGGCACACATACACTCAAAATCTCAATTATTTATTCTGGCAGTGAAACCTGAGACCATCTCCTATTAGGTCTATATCCAGACATTCAGACACTAGGACAGCGTAAAGCCTTTGAAAGAGGAGCTTCACAATGCCAGGAATGCATATAAAGCACCTCTTTTCAATTAATTAAAACAGCCACGTCATTTGCAATTAAATTTCTCCAACTGTCTTCTGAAGCAGTCGTCCAAGCTTTGCAACCAATTTGGTTGTTTTTAACAATTTGAAAAGAGCTGTTTTTCTCGCATAGGAGATTTTATCCAAAAATCCTGCCTTCCTCTTGCTGCTCTATCTTCCAAATATTGGCTTACTTTCCTCTCTGTGATATTCCCATGGCTCTTTATGTCATGCCAGCAAACAACAGACTCTTTTAATAGTAGTATAAATAGCAATTTGTTACTAAAAATGAAGTATACTAAAAATGAGTCTCTCCATATGGTGGGAATTAAGAACAAACAGAGAGAAATGAGATCACACAGCTGATCTTCCAGAAAATATCCTTCTATAAGGTTGGGAAATAATATTTTCACTTGGGAAGGAGCAAGGGGAGGGAAGAGAAGATAGTCAAGCCTGTAAGATAATTGTTCTTGTTCTTCTGCTTTAAAAATATTATAGACACGCATGCACACCCCTCTATTATTGAGAGGAAGAGATAATAATAATAATAATGATGATGATAATAATAATAATAAAAAAATACACATGAAAAGCATAGTTATAATGGTAAACATGAAAGAAAGTTATACATTGGCTTCAAAATTCTATCATTCTCAGCCAGCATGGAAATGGCCAAGGCAAGTAAGGATAACAGGGATTGTAATTCACCATGTCTGCAAAGCTTGATGGAAACAGATGATTAGTTCAGCCTAATATTAATGGCTGCCAATTAAAAATTATCATCCTCCAGATTTCACTCACCGGAACCCAAACATGATCTCATCATGGCGAAGGTGGGCATCATCATCAATGGACAAAATGGCTTCTGTTTCAATCTCATCCCAGGGCAGAAACCGGTTATTCAAACTATTCTTCTCAGTCCGTACAACCTAAAAATACATACACGTTTTAATTTCTTTTTTGTCTTTTCTTTACCGTAGTAATATCTTACAATGGCCATAATGGTTCATTACATCAGAGAAGTTTAAGCAGATATATTACATAGGGCACAGTACAAATCATACATATAGCAAAAGATTGGTAAGAATAGCAGAAGATTAGTAAGCTGTCATTCTCTTGGGGGAGAAGGTACAGTTCTGGAAAACGGATGGGAAGTGATGAAAATGTGTGACTTCAGTTTTGTCCTTAACGTAGGGCAGCCATTCCTAACCTGCTGGCCCTCCAGATACACTGGACTTCAGTGCTTATGATCACTCAGTCACCTATATGGATCACTTTCATAAATCCACAGAGTGCTATTCTTGGGCCTTCCATGACAGACCATGAGAAAAGTTTCCCATTTGGATGCTCCCTTTTCCCCATGACTTCCACTGCTTACTGAAAAATACAAAGAAAATGACAGGTTAATTATGCTAGTTTGGGGCTTGGTGTTTATTTGCATAAAACTTTTTCATGAAGAGAATATCAAACATGCAACGTACTGTTTGAATTGATAGATCTTATTCAAAGAAAGATTTTAGCACTCAAGCCTGTTGTCTGTTTAATAACCTATCTCTTTGGGATAAGCAGGACTGAAGGGGATGCCAGGGTTTTGGCTGGAAGCAAAATCTCTGATATCTACTTAGGGTCCCCTTTGTGAGTTTATGCATGTGTGAGTATATGTTCATTGTTCAGCAACTGTCTGCATCCCTGGAGAATCAGAGTATAAACTGCTGTTCTCACATATCCAGTTCCCACTCCAAAAAGCATAAATAACTCTCTCCCACAATCACCACAATCCCACTTTTTTTTTTTTAAGCAAACAATGCCTACAAAAAAAGATAAAGAAATTGAGCATTGTGGCAATAAAATGTCATTAAATGAGAGAACACTTGGATCATGTCATAAAAAGAAGTCCTACTCTGAAACTGTTAAACAGTAGAAAATATCAGGAAGAACTGGGTGACAGTTGGTATGATTAAGTTCCTGCATTAAGTCAATATTAGCCTTTCCCCCTGTCAACAGCTAAGAGAAGGGAGAAGGCGGCAAGTAACATTTTAGAAAATATTAATCAAAAACTGAAACACAATTTATTAGAAGGGGAAGCACAGCAAAGACTGAATGCATAAACAACTACAATGCCCCAATGCCCAGTACTGCCCACTTTGGGTTCTCCTGACATCTGGGCATTAAAAAAGGCATGCTATATTCCCAGGTCTCTGATGTTACAGAATTATCCTCTGTAAGAAGGATAGGAGGGTGAAATATTTCCAAACACTGGAAATAATGGGTGAAATAATGGAGGAACCATTATTTATTCAAAGCTCTACATGCGTCCACTACAGCTTCATCTCTATGAAGATGCAAAGCTTTAGATTATGTGTAAAAGATACTCAATCCATATATATGCATTACTGGAACATGACATCTGTTTTGATAAGGAAATTAGTAATACCACACAAACATAAAATATCCAGCTGTTCTTCTCTCAACTATCATGGTTGCCAAGAGAAAACAATTAAAAAGCAAAATTAGCCTTTATATTTCCTGAATCTTAAATATTAAGTAGTCTAGACCACACAGTACATTAAGAGAGCTTTTACATTCTAGTTCCACACAGTTTGGGTAACAATCAATAATAATAATTATACTAACAATAATGCACCTGTACACCTATATTGATTTTTACAAGAGGAAAGAATATTTACTTGGAGATATTTAAGGTGCAAACAGCCTGTGAATCAATATGTTCTAGGGAAGTGGCTCAACCAGTTACATCAATTCTCCTGCTACTTTCCTATGAAGATCATCCTACAAAGATTGGCTCTTGAGAAAAAAGAAAGTAATGTTTTTCTTAGTATATCCAAAATAATTAGCTTGATACTGGGAAATAGGTTGACCTCATAATCTTGAATACATTCACTAAAAGTAAGGTTTGATGTAAATCCAAAATACTCATTTTGAAACTTTTTGTAACAATCTGCTACAGGGTGAATATACTGTAAGAGATTAGTAAAACAAACCAACAACATAAAGCAAACCTGAGGATTTTACTAGCTGAAAACCTTTTCTCTTGATATCTAGGTGGCACAAGGGTCTTTCTTCTTTTCTCTTGTAAAACAACTCCTATTAGAAAGGCTAATTAGAAGGACCAGTGAGTCACATCAGGGATTAAGGGCTACACTTGACATTTGAGTAGAGTACTGGGTACACACTCCAAAAAGTGGACAAAATCTAACAAAACCTAACCTTAAATTCATTTAATTTAAATGTAACATTAAATATTTATTTTTCACAGCATTTGGTACTCTTCTCCTTCTGTGACTTTAAAAATTACATTCTGCCAGCAATGTGTGAAAGGGGCCTAAGAAATGTAGATAAGGTTGTGTACTTCTGCTTTATAAGCAAGAATACCAAATCAACTTTTGTATGACTGGGGCTATCAGATCCAGGCTACAAAAATCAGGATTTCATAAGCAAATTTGTAAAAAGTGTTTATGAGTACCCAAATTTGCTGTTAGAAAGATCAGATCAGCTCCAGATGTGTGAAGGTCAACTCCCAAACTTCTCCAAACATCATGGCCATTGCTGTGGATTCTGGAAGTTGTCTACACTTCTGGAGGCTGGCTAGACTGGGGAAGGCTAGACAAGGCTTATGCAGCAATTTTATTAAAAAGTCAAAATAAAACAATTATTTCTAAATGTCTACTTAATTAATGAAATTAATTTCCACTAATGATTGGCACAAGTTTGTTGACTTTGGAAAAATGCTGACATTCACTGATAAAAGGTCAACTTTCAGTTATGGAGCACAATAACTAAATGGAAAATTTGCATCCAGAGTTAGATTTTTACCAAGTTCTTGATGTTAGGAAAACAGGGAACCACCATTACATATTCACTCTTTTATCTGATTCATATATTCATCTGAATAGGAACAACAGGAAGCAAAAGATAAGGTGTACTTTGTAAATAAAAAAATCATACTGAAAAAGAATGGGCAAACTTAGGGATTCATGTGGACTTCATCCAATTTTTATGTGGCTGTCTATGAGAAAAGCTATTGGTCCTAGGATGCTGCATGGGATCTAAGTAACACAAAGAAGAGAAAGAAGACAAGGGTGTCAGAAAAACAGAGGAAAAAGTAGGAATTCCAGAAAGGCATAACATGATCCCACTCACTTCTGATCTAGGCCCACCCCACTGCTTGCTTATATCCAGTCTCTCAGTGACATATGACACCCTACAGATTTCTCTCACTGCTTTCAATGAGAGAAAAAAGTGTCTCACCAATGATGTATGAATTGACTTGGAATCATCACTACAGTACCTGATCATAATAGGCAACTATTGATTTAGACTAACAGTCTAGATGCTTGTGGCCATGGAACAGCATTAATGCCTCCATTATTACACATGCCTTTACTCTTTACCTCAACTGCATCTTTCCCAGTCCAAAAGCCTCCAGAAATACTGGTTAACATTTCCCAGCATTTACTATGTTGTGGCTGAGGATGATGGAAGTTATAGACCAATACAGCTGGAAAGAAGATTTCCCCAAATTGAAGAAAAAGCACTCTAGCGATGTGAGTGTATAAAGGACAAAAGAATATAAGCACCCACACAGGCACAACAGTTATATCCAGCTAAATCTGGCGTTTTTACAGTTTCTCATGGATACAGTATCCAAAGAAAGATGGAAAGTAAGTATAACACAAGGGCAAATAGTCACAGTTCTGCACATTGTTCTTTGAGTACGTGATTTTGTGTATGTGTGTGTGTATGTGTGCGTGTGTGTGATTTATCTAATCCCTCAACCTAAAATTAAAACAATTGCAAACGAAGGTGATTATCATCGTCATGTTAATACCAACTCCAAAAATTAACATAAGCACTGATGGCTGCACATTATTCACTCACCAAAGGCAAGTTTTCACAAGCTTCCAGAAGGCCATGAGAATGGAAACCATTTTTATCTTAGGAGGCAAACTTTTCCAAAGGAGAAGAGCTCTCACAGAGAACACCCGCTCTTGTGTCCACTTCTGCTGCATAACTTGATAGAAGGGTAGCTTCAGCAGGCCACCCAGATCAGATGGAAAGAATCTATCTCAGAAAGGTGATCTCTTAAGATGCACAGGCCTTGAGCCATAAAGGGCTTTAATGGTGGCAACCAATACCTTGAATTGCACCAGGGAACAACTTGCAACCAATGCAGCTCCTGCAGCAGAAGTGTGAACTGGCAGGACTGCAACTGCCCAGTAAGGATATAGGCTGCTGCATTTTGTGCCAGCTTAGTCTCTGGGTGGTCTTCAAGGACAGTCCCCTCTAAAGCTAATTACAGTAGCCCACCTGAAAGATAACAAGGGCATGCAATGTGCCCTGGAGCACAAAGTTCTTCTAATTTGTCATGAGGCAGCAAGCCATGCCATGGTGATCTACTTTAATCAGACTTGCCTTTGGTTGAACTGGTTAAGCAGTCACCATTTCAGTAAATTACCACCTGCCACATACAACTGAATAGCCAAGAAGCCCTGAGAACAGCTTTGCTCTGAACCCCTGTCATGCTTAGGTTGTATCAAATGCCTTAATGTATCAAGTGCAGCCTCTGTTCATTGCCACAGAGGTTAGTTCTGGCATACCTCTCTGGAAGAGCAAAGGCAGTATTGCTATCAGTACTGATGCCATTCTGGAAATAAATCTGTTTGGTTCTGACTTTGTGACATAATTACATTCACTGTGTGCTTTCTGACAGCTTGGGATGCTGTCATGAATAATGAGATCCCAAACTCTTGTACACTGAGGGAAAAATGGCTGCCAACAGCCTAAAAGAAACAGCAAGGGTAGAAAGATGTACGTACACAGGTATCTTCATCCTTAAAAAGCAAGTTTCTAGTCTCAAAAAAAAAATTCAGGGCATGAATTTGACACAGTTATGATAATATCACTTTCA